ACTCGGGCGTGTGGCAGTCTTGGGGCTTTAGGGTCTGGTTCTAAATCCAGAACAATATCAGCAGCACCGAGCACCACCCTCGGAGGAACTGATTTATTACTGTTTTTGGATTCAAGTTGTTGATTTACAACTTTGGGCCCTGCCTTAAGTTATGTCAATAATAGCTGTGCAGTGAAGCTGAAGACCAATGGAAGACTCCCAGCTGACCACAAGACTCAGGCGGGAGGGGTCAACTAGAAAATTAGCAGCAAGCTGGGATTGTCTAGTGTGTGGCAAACATACCCACATATAGTCCCCGTGGGCAGTGCTATGTAGTGACTGACAGTCACATTGTGCACTTCTAACCACTGGGATTTTATTCCACATAATTTGTTTAAAATGACAGGAAATAAAACACAAAATATACCCTTAGAAAGATTTCCACCAAAGATGGTTAGAGTTAAAATGCTCAGTAGTTAGAGGAATCAGTTTCAGTTATCTGGAAGAATACTTGGCTGAAAGTACTTCTTACAGAAAGTGCTGGATAACCAGTGCCATTGTCACTGGGCCCAGGCTTGTGTGTGAACTGTGAGTAAGTCCTCAGTCTGGGACAGAGAGCAGTGTGTGTCCTGCCAAGTTCCCAGGTGTGTCACTGACCAAAAAAAGCGGGGAAGGACTGCTCTTGCCAACCACCCCAACAAGTCCAGGCAAACTGTGGGCACTTAACCCACAGCAGCCGGCGCCAGCAACTGTTCTGAGTGCAGAGCAAATCAAACACACGATCCCCAGAACGCAGACACGTGATGTGTCTCTTTGAACACAATCTCCATGAGAGTCAGGCCTCTGCACTTTCCCAGGTGACCCCCTGGGAGTCCAGGAACCACACATGTGATTGCACAGGGATCTCAAATGAAAAGGTGGTCTCCTACTTCTGAGTCCTCAAGATGTGATCTTTTCTGCAGAATGAGGTTCATCTGTCGAATTCATTCCACAGCCAGGAACTCCAGCCCCGAGGGGCTTTGGCAAACCACTCTGTCCCTGGTAACAGTGAAATCAGGTGCTTAACTGGCCCGAAGACTTTCTGAGAACTTAGAACACACACCCAGGTCTGCTTTAAGAATTCGAGGTCTTTGGCCTGATAGAAAATGCCTGGAGGGACAGGGACTTGGGCCATTGGGTAAATGAGTGATAGTAAAGCTCCTATTTCCTGAGTATTGACTTGGTGCTGGGCACTGATGTAATGCTTTCCGTGAAGCTCATTTCACCTTCTCAACACCTTACAAAGCAGGTACGGGTTATCTCTTTTACAATGCAGGCAGCTGTTGCTGGAGAGGTGAAGTCACTTGCCCCAGGCTACGCAGCCCTTGACACAGGAAGCCAGGACCCTGCCCTCAGCTGCCAAATGCTTTACTGCCTCTGAGGGAAGCAGAACGGGCACAATGGAAGCTCAGAGCCTGCATCTGATGCTCATTCCTTAAGAAAGGTATGGCAGAGGGTGGCCTCATGTGGACATGGAATGATTCCCGAGTAGGCTTCTTCCTTGTTTCCAGTGGGTAGGATCTCCCTGGGCAAGGTCAGGGGCCACGCCAGTACCAGAGACTGGCTCCAGGGTGAGGGACAAGCATGTTCCAGCAAGCCAGGGAAGCCAGAGGAGTCTCCAAGACCTGTCTTACCAGTTTCTCACAAGTATGTCACCCACCGAGCCAAATAGTAATGGGAGCACTGGAGTGTGTTTTGCTCCTGTGGTCAGGCTCCTATGAAAGCTGGGGCGGGCTTCAGTGCTGCTTCCAAACATCTGAGCAGAAGGCAACTCAGCCCCTACACACCCCTCCCGACACACACACACACACACACACACACACAGGGCCACTGCACCAGCCAGTCTGACAGTGACAACACCCTTTCCTTGGAGGCTGTATGAACACCCATGGGTGCTCACCCAGCTACCTTGCAGAGGTTTCCTCCTTTCCATAACATCTGCAGAGGTCTCATCTCTCTCCTCAATAAAGGGGCTGCTCTTCTCCTCCAGGACCATGGCCGTTCTCACCAGGATCACTTGAAGTTTCCCTGGCAACAGTGTCAGTGTGGTACACTGAGAGGGGGCAGGTGAGGGAATGAGGCCTGGGCTTGAATGTTGACCTCCAACCGAGGACACTGCAAAGACTCAAAGCTTTCTCTAGCAAACCTGCCCACTTCTCCCCTCTTTGCCAAACCACATCCTCATTGGTTCCAGGCACTCCTTTAGCAAAACTGACTCTTATCAGGTGCTGCTATTCTGTGCCCCTCAGCACCTGTTCACCCTTCTCATGTGGCCCCAGGGGGCTCAGCTGTGGGGTGCCAAGCAAGTGACAATCTCTCCAGGTCTGGGCTCCTTGGCCTGGGCACAGCCTTGCTCCCATCACACATAGGGAGCCTTGCAGGCCTGTGGATGCGCTTTGACTGTGAAATACCATGAATATGAGGCATTTCTAGTTCTCTCTCACTCCCTCCAAAGATCTGGGCTCTGCATCCAGGCTGACGTGAAGTAAATCAGCAGAGGAAGAAGGGGGCTCTATCAAGCTTAATCAGAGATGGCAATAATTGCTCTTTTCCCAGCCTCAAGTTCAGCTGTCAGATGCCTGGTGGTGTGGATCACCCGAGAGTTATCCCTGATGCTGGCCTAGGACAGCCAACAACTTGCCTGCTTAGGCAGAAACCTGGATGGGTGGGAAGGTGTGAAGAAACAATTTCAGTGCTGATTCCTGCTCTGAAAGAGAAGGCACTGTGTTAGAGAGGAAGCAGGACCCAAATGGTGGGCTGAGGAGGAAGACACACTCAGGCAGAAGCCTGGGTCTCCCCCCAAATTCTGGGTGGCCTTGGGCAGAGGACTTTACCTCCTGAAGCCCTCATGTCTATATGGAGAGAACAAGTGTCACATGAATAATGGTCATAGTCTTGTTTCATGGTGACTCTTAGCTAGATGCTCTTTTTGAATAGAAGCCACTTCATCTGTTAGGGCTGATTTCCAAAAGCCAACTAGTATTCAGAGTGTGGACTGTTTGATGTGACTCAAACCTCCAGGCAGAAAAGTATATTATACCATGCAATCAAGAAAGGTATAAAAAAAAAAGTGAGAGCAAGGCTCTCCTTCAAGTGGATATTTTCTGGAGTGAGTGTTGGTTTACATCAAACAAGAGACTTGTCGCAGAACAATAACACCTTCTGCTGATCAAAGTACTTTGACCTTTGATCCTAAGTGTCCTGATCAGATATGGTGGACATATTATCCTACATGATAGATGAAGATACTGAGACACAAATCAGAGATGGAGGTTGAACCAAGAACCCAAGCCTGATAGTGTCAGAAAAGCTCTCCCTTGCTTGCCATGTATTATTTAATACCTAGGGAAAACAAGAAAATAATAAGCCTCTTGGGTTTTTAATCACAAGTGCTGTTAATAAGATGAAAGAAAAGGAAATTTAAAATATAGATTTATATCTTCAAATGTTCTTTAAAAATAAATAAAGGAGCTGGGTTGCTCTAGTGATTAGGAGCTCCACCCTTCCTCTCTCGCCCACGAAGCCAGAGCTTCCCTGTGCTGGTCCCTTAGGTGGACCCACTCGTTCCAACCGATACCGGTTGTCAGTTTCATTGAGAAATTGGTTGCTCAATAGGTATTGAGGTCTCTACTATTTCAGCACAAAGATGAAATAGCAATTCTGCTAGATGTCTTTATAAAAGGAGCTACATAACTGGAACATTTCCCTTTGTGTCTCTTTCTATCTGGGTCCCCTGGACTTGGTGTGGGCTGGGGGTGGGTGTGCAGAGCCGAGGGTGGGAGGTGATTGTCTGCCTGGCTGCCCCGCAGGGAAGGAGAGGGTCCTCAGTCTGTCTGAGGGCTGAACCAGGGAGAGGCAGAGTCGATCACATTTCTCAGTTGGAGGGTGACAGAATTTATTCCTTACATACAGGTGGCGGTGAAGGGGGCTCATGGGAATTGATGGGGATCAAGAGGAGTTTTTCTTGAGCAAAACACCGTGGGGACTCCAAGGCAAATGTTCCTTCACAGTCTTGGGTCTCACGAAGTAAGTACTTGAGGACAATGCCCAAGGGCCAAGCTCTTGATCTAAACTCTGCCACTTAGAGCAGTGGGATTTCCTTCCGAAGAACAGACAAGACAGTGGGCTGGGGAGATTCCCAGACTGGATTTCTGTGCTTAGGGCTGATTCTTAGTAAACCTGCACGCTTGGCCACATCTGCAGTTTTCAGCCAGCCCTTGTATGTCCTTCTACCCCGAGCATCTTCAGGGGCTGGCCTGCTCGGGCCACCCAATGTTCTCCCGTCTCCCCATGGCTCTCAGGCAAAACTACCCTGCGAACATAAACCAACATGCAATCCTTCCCTGTGTCTGCACAGAGAACCTTGGACTTCATGGTAGGATGGAATCAAACTAGAGAAGAATTCTGCAGGATAGGAAGCCATTTCCTCACCTCTTAAGCCACACTTGGAACATCATTTAATAAACATCTTACCACCACCCATGTGCCAGGTCCTGAACACAACCCGGATCCTCGATTTCTCGAAGCCACCGGCATCTGGCCACTTCCTCCATCTATAGATTTGTTGAGAGCCCTGGATTGGACATTTGATGAGAACCATGGTTCTGCCCTGGTAAAATTCCACTCACTTCTAGCTCCACCTGACTCCTGCCAGTCCCGGCCTGGGGGACAAGAGCAGGACAGCAGCCTGGAGAGAGGGAAACTGGAACACGGGACACAGAGATCTCACTCCTCCAGGGTGGCTGTATCCACTGAGGAGGCTCCCTTGCCCTTCCTGGCCTTGGGCTCTATAAATTGCAGGAGCCATCTGGTTCCCTCAGCGCGGTTGGGGTCTCCGTGAGAATCACCGGACAAAAGCCGTCTGGGCCAGGAGAGGCTGGCAGGCGCCATGGCCCCAGGGAGTACACTCCAGCCTCTCCAGGGCGGGCCCTATCACTCCAATTCCTGCATTTCTGGTCTGCCGCTGGTCGGTCCCTCCCGTGAGGAGGATTTTGCCCGAGGACATGGGGTGGGTGGGGAGCCTGCCTCCTCCCTTGCACCGATTGCAGAAAAGGAGGGGTTCCCACCCCATGGCAAGGCTGCCATCCGAGCTCTGCCCTCACACAGACACAGCCTCATCCCCAGCTCTGACGGGAGCCCTTTGAGCTGGTTGGCAGCAAGCGACATGGCAGAGGAGCTGTCTGAAGAGCAGGTGGCTGAGTTCAAGGCGGCCTTCACCAGGTTCGACAAGAACAAGGATGGCACCATCAACGTGCAGGAGCTGGGGGATGTCATGAAGACCCTAGGCCAGAACCCATCAGAGGACGAGCTGAAGAATATCATCGCCCAGGTGGACACGGATGGTGACGGCGCCATCAGCTTCCCGGAGTTCCTGGCAGCGATGGTTAAGAGGATGAAGTCCTGGGGCGGTGAGCAGGACCTGAAGGAGGTGTTCCAAGCCTTCGACCTGGATGGGGATGGCCATATCACCATTGACGAGCTGAAACAGGCCATGGTCCGGTTGGGGCAGAAGCTCACCCAGGAAGATCTGGAGGCCATGATCCAGGAGGCGGACCTGGACAAGGATGGACAGGTGAACTATGAGGAGTTCTCGCGCATCCTCGGTCAGAAGTGAAGCCCTGGTCTGGCCCGCCTCCTCTGCCTGACTCTGGTTCTGGGGTTCCTGCTTGTGCACTGGGATGTAAAGGGGAAGTCTGGGTGGTGGGGCCCCTGGCCTCTCTTGGTCTGGGTTATGGGCTGTTGGGACTCCCTCTGTGCCTGGGGGAGCTGGGGCTGCCCCTTACCTCACAGGGCTGTTGTGAAAAACCCCAAAGCCAGGTGGTGGCCCAAATAAAAGGAATGTGAACTCTGAGGGTGGTACACTGGTGCTTGAATGTTTGAAGTGTCCCCCAAAATGGCATGTGAGATTCTACCCTTGTCACTGGTTCCTAGTAGGAGAACCAGCCTGCACAGGCCAGATGTCTCCCTGTTGCCTCCCCTCTGATCCTGCAGAGAAGAAGGGGCGTGGTCATGGTCTGGGGTGGTCAGGGGCCGAAGAGGCATGGTTCTTTGCCTGAGCTTCTGGATCAGGACAGAGTATGGACCCCAGAGCTGGGACACTGCCTACAGCATAAACAATAAAGTTTACCATCCTTTGAATACAGCCAACTGTATTTTTTAAAATGTGTGTGTGTGAGTGTGTGTGTGTGTGTGTGTGCTGTGTTTGAGATGCAGGGTTGTGTAGATTTATAAACCACGAAGGTGGAAGTGGCCTCACCGGAATGAAAGCAAGACAGTCAGGAAGTAGGAAAGACAGAGGTGCTGTGAGGGCAAAGGGATGGCGGCACTTGCACTGGGGCTGCTGGCCAGTCCGATCTTAGGGGGATCTGGGGTGTTTCTAAGCGGAGACCCAGCGGTCTGTGAGAAGTTTCCTTCCTCCTCTGCTCCTACCCCAAGATCTAGCCCCTTGTCGTTGCCCCTCGATGGCCCCTCTGTGAGTTGGGGGCTCTCAAGTTGCTCCCAGGCGGTGGGCGTGTTCCACAGAGGGGCTGAGGAGAGTCAGAGAGACGGAGATAGACGATGAGGACCTGCTGGCAGGCGCCTGGCCCACCCTGATGTCAGGAGAGCTGCCATTTGAACTTAGATTTATGATATCGCTGTGTGTTTGAGGCTGCTTTTCACAGGCTCCCTTGTCCTGGTTCTCAGAGACAATTTAGTCTGAGCTCATCTTGCACATGAGGAAACTGAGGCCCAGTGGGGTTAAGGGACCAGTCAGCATTGTCTGCAGCCAGCTCTGTGACCCTGCGTGCCATTTAATGATGGGCTTCTGCTTCCCCTTTTGTGAAATGAGTTTTCCTTTTGTTCCTGTTTGAGTGAAATTTGAGCCCGACTGTCAGTGACGACTGATTTTATCTTATCCTGGTTTGGGTCACACCAGTGGTTCTCAGCTCAGGGTGGGGAGAGGTGGAACCAGCTTTCCCTGGGGGTTATTGCAAAACTCTGGGCAGGCCCTGCACCACCTGCCCCCTTATTTGAGCGCCTGTGGAGGGGGTGGGAGAGGGGCCAGGTCAGCAGGATAGGGCTGCTGCATCAGTGACCTTTTTCTTTTATTCTCCTTCATTTGACATTTTCGGCAGGTCACTCCAGTCTCCTGTGACCCCCACACACTGCTGCCTGGTTCATCCTGGGGATTCAAACTCTTCCCTCAGAGTTTGGCCATGTCCCTTCCAGAGCTTGGCCTGTGGTGGGCACATAAGGGAAGGTCCTGGACTTGAGGGCTGGGTGGTGGCCAGTGGGCTGGGGGAACTATGAAGGAAGAAGAGAAGGAATTCCGAGGTCCCTGAGGGCCCTGAGGAAGGGTGGGGATAGGCTGGGGAGGCAGGCGCCCTACCTACATCTTCAGATAAAGACTCGGAGACTAAGACTAGAGATAAGGAGATGCGGGCAGAGGTAGGTACAGACCCGGTGGGGTAATCTGAGGGGGGGGGTGGCGAAAGTGCTCCTGCCTCCAAGATGAGGGTGGTTCCCTCCAGAAAGTCCCCATCCTCTGAGGGACATAGGTCACAGCAGTCTGAGTTTCTGAATTAGTGATTCCTAAATGCCAAAGAGGGCTAAGATGAAGTTTCCCAAGCTGTGTGAAAATAAGGAAGATAAAGACTTTTTGACTAACCTAAATGGATTCAATTTTTAAAATTCTGAGAATATGCTCTCTCCATATTTTTCATGTTAAAGGCTCTTTCTTTCACAAAGCCACTTAATAATAGCAGATGATAGCTTTGTGGGTTTTTGTTTTTTCATGTTCTTATTCTGAGAGTCCCACCCGTGCCCAAAATTAATGCAGTTTTAGTGGCCCACCAGTCCCAAATGTCTGAAAACAAGTAACTGTTCACGTCTGGGGAGTGTAAAATGGATTTTCTTTTCTTTAAAAGAATGTGGGGGGGGCGGTTTTGACTTTGAAGAAATATGTAGCTCATACATGGGAACAGTGAACCCCAAGTTCAGGGCCGATGTTTCCTCAGAGATCGAGGCGCAGAGGCCCTCGCTAGATGCCTTCATGTTTTCTTCCTTAAGCTCGCTGACAGCTCCGTGGAAGCTAGCTTGGTTTTCCTCCATATTGTTGCATGTCTAAAATATGTTATACTAAAGATAATGCATGCACTACATGGGAGATGAGAACTTACAGAGGGATGGAGGGAGATGAAGCCAGCAGCCCAGGGGCTGAAAATTTGGCTGATGTTAGAGACTGGATGTTTGAGGCTTCTCACTGATGAGCTGTTCCCGAAAAGGGCTTGATGGGGCCTCCAGGCAAGAAGAAAGCAGCACAAACTTCTCTTGATCTATTGCCCAAGAAGAACAGAAAGAGAATCTGTGTCCAGGAGAGGAAGTGATGCATAGGAGGTCCTGAGTGAGACAAGAACCTGGAACAGACTTCAGGGGTCTGAGGGCCATCCCCTTCGGTGACCCTCACACATCACCTGTGGCCCTGACCCAGGCGGAGCTGGTCCTGGGGAGGGGGGTCGGGTAGAGGGAGTTGGTGGGGACCCATAAGGCAGAATGTCTTTTGGGAGCTGGAAATCCTGAGTTTTAGTGACTTTTGTCATGCTGACTCTGCAGGAGATGCACAGAGCATGTTTTAGTGCTGACTCCACTCCCTGAAGACCTCTGAGGGTTGAGCTGGGTCCCACTCCCTCACGTGGAGTCCCTGCAGCCGCCCCACCCCCGTCTAGAACACTGAGGAGAGCTAGGAAGTGTGCAAGAAGCCTCTGAGGAGCCAACACGGCTTTAGGGCACTGCAGGGAAACTCGATTCTCTGAAAGCCACTTCTCTGAAAATCAGTTTGCCAAGACTAGTTCTGTATATGGTCCATTTGCTGCCATTTCCCCCCAAATTATCTTTACAAACACCTTATAAGAATTACAGAGATGCGTGTTGGGTGGGATGTGTTAACAGTTTTTGAAAATTTCTCTGAAGTTTTCTCTGTCCAGTTTAATATTTTAGTTAGTTTTACATGCTGGCTTGATGAATTATTTTATTGCAGTCAGTTCATATAAACACTGCACTACAACCTGACAAAGAAGAAAGTTCCCTGTTTGTTTGTTTGTTTGTTTGTTTTTCTCCATACATGGTGTCCATAATTCTCCTTGGGGAAGGAGAACCGATTCATTTCAAGATTGCATAGTTGTAAATGTCTCTGACATCAAGGATTTTATGGATCATAGACAGGGCGGGTTTCTCTCTTCTAACAGATGGTCAATAGAGACGGTTGCTTTAGTACTTTAATTTAGAGATTATTAAGTGGCTTGGTCAAACGGATATTTGTGTGTGTTTTAAGTATTTGTAAATGCTTTGAGTCTGAAATACAAGTCACCCACAAAACTGACATTCAGGTGAGCAGAACTGAACCAATGAATCTGTTGGAACTGGTTGGAGTGAAAACACAACTAATTTAAACTAAAACAAAATTTTGTCCCAGTTCTTCTAGATGTTAATCAGTACATTGATTTTAGAGGAATTATTCTACAGGTCAAAACAGATGTTTCCAACTTCATATACTAAAAAATACCTTTTCTTCATTGAATTTCCCTGGATCTTTTAAACCCTAATTTATAGCTATTTCTTATGGGCCTGATGAAACCATTCCTCTTTGAAGCTCTATATCAAATGCCACTTCCTTCAGGAAGCTTTCCAGAACAGGGCCAGCACATCATAGGTTCTTGATATGTGCCCTGGGAGCCCTGGGAGAGAGTGACTAGATCTCTGCTCCCCCTACCCTGGCCTTTTGTACAATCCTCATCAAAGTGCACCTTATATTGAAGTTTCTTTTGAACAAGGCCTAGCCTCTTTCCTCAGAACCTGTAGACTCCTGGCCTGTGGTTGATTTAGCACCAACCCTCCTATCACCTGCACTAGATACTGGCTCGCTTCCCATGAAGTATCACCTCCAGCTGCAGAGATGGCTTCCAGGGTGCCCTTGGAGTAAAAGGCATCTTTGCAATGTCACACTCACTGGAGAGAGGGAAGACCCCAGGTGTGACTGAAGAGGGATAGTGACTCTCTTCTGCCCTGTTTTTATGAAAACAGCCCCCGTGAGACCATAAGATTCCAACAGTTCTGTATTAGGGTTTTCCAGAGTGACAGAACCAATAGGACAGGTAGAGAGATAGAAGAGGAGATTTATTGTACAAATTAGCTCACCTGAGAAGCTCCAACTGTGCCATCTGCAAGTAGGAGACTCAGGAGAGCCAGTGGTATGGCTCAGTTCAAGTTCTGAGGCCTGAGAACTAGGGGACAATGGCGTTGGTCCTGATCTGAGTCAGAAGGCCTGAGACCCACAAGTTCTGATGTCCGGTGCACGGGAAGATAGATGTCCCAGCTCCCGCAGAGAGTGAATCCACCCTTTCTCTGCCTCTTCATTCTGTTCGGGCTCTCAGTGGATTGGTGATGCCCACCACATTGAGGGAAGGTGCTATGTGCTTTGCGCAGTTCACCAGTTCAAATGCTAATTTTATCCAGAAATACCTGCATAGACACCCCTATAAATAATGTTCACCAGCTACCTGGGCATCCTTAGCCCAGTCAGGTTGACATAAAATGAACCTTCACAAGTCCATTCCTTTTTGATCTAGAAACACAGAGATTCTAGGGCATGTAAACTGTAGGACAGACAAAAATTTAGCTATAAGATCATTTGGACCAGTTTATAAGAAATCAGGTCAAGGTCAAGATGAACATCCCCCTTCTATCCAGGAAAGTCATCAAGAGCAGATTGTCAATAGGCACAGGAGCTGTATGTTCCAGAGTGTCAGGAACAATCTAGGTAAATTATCCTGTCCTCTCTTCTCTGTAAGCTAGCCAAGGTTCTCAGTTTTGAGT